CAATATAAACACGTTAATATATATTAAATCATCCATAAGTTTATTCAATATAAACACGTTAATATCTATTAAATCATTCCATATGTTAATTCCATATAAATACAACGTTAATATATATTAAATCATTCCATATGTTAATTCCATATAAATACAACGTTAATATATATTAAATCATCCATAAGTTGAGTCGATATAAACACGTTAATATCTATTAAATCACTCCATAAGTTGATTCGATATAAATACAACGTTAATATCTATTACATCCTCCATAAGTTTATTCAATATAAACACGTTAATATCTATTAAATCACTCCATAAGTTTATTCAATATAAACACAACGTTAATATATATTAAATCATCCATGAGTTTATTCAATATAAACACAACGTTAATATATATTAAATCATCCATAAGTTTATTCAATATAAACACGTTAATATATATTAAATCATCCATAAGTTTATTCAATATAAACACAACGTTAATATATATTAAATCACTCCATAAGTTGAGTCGATATAAACACGTTAATATCTATTAAATCACTCCATAAGTTGATTCGATATAAATACAACGTTAATATCTATTAAATCCTCCATAAGTTTATTCAATATAAACACGTTAATATCTATTAAATCACTCCATAAGTTGATTAGATATAAAAACAACGTTAATATATATTAAATCATTCATTAATATTCGATATAAGAGTAACTGCTTTAGGCGGTGGGTGCTGCCGACTGGGTGCCTTCCCTCTGATCCGCAGTTCAAAATTAGAGACGATTAAGCCTGAACAATCGGGGTTTCTTTACTTGGCCGTTTAGCCCACTGTATGTATAAAGGTCGTTAAGGTAAACAAACAAGTTGACAATTTTTTTTATAATAAACAATTCCTATGAAGAGGTAACAGTTTTATAAGAGTGTTGAGCCATGTAGCATATACATAAGAAAGCTAAACTTTAGACGCTGCTAAATATATGAACTGCTAAACTAGTAGGCATACATCCCGATATCGGAAGTTTTCCTGATACTTTTTAGATGTTTTTTTTTTTTTTACAACCCATCTTGATATCTAATTAATAGCATTTCTGCATGACGTGAGCAAAAATGGACGGGTTTGAGCTGCTTATACGATATATCATTTAGCTTAATTTTTGAAGCAGTCATTAACTCTGAAAAAAGTAATTTGTTTACGTACTTTACGGTTTAACTCTGAAATAAGTAATTAGTTTACGTACTTTACGGTTTAACTCTGAATCATCATCTAAAGTGATATTCTTAGAAGAGATAATGGATGTGTTATGTTAAAAATACTTTTCCTTGTCATTGTTGAATTATCGTAAATTTCAAGTGTTTTGTGTATTGTCGTATGTAAGATAGATTCAGTATAATATAATATTAATTCATACCTCTGTTCATGTTGCTATGTTATTGATTTTGTTGCTGATCCCGATTTTAAATGCAATATATATATATACTATCATAACTTTTGTAAGACTAATTTTTCTTCATCCTAAACTATTATTATTAGACGTTTTCCGCCCTTTTTCCAACTGTTTATTCTAATTTTCATTGAATTGTTGTATAGTGTGTAACAGAATAGTATTTTTCATTATTCTGTTTGTTATGGCTTTTGATCACGTGACAAAAGTCGTGTTTCCATAAATTTCAAGTCGAGCGTGGTCTAATAGCTATAGTTAGAGTGCTCGGTTTGTGAATCTGAGGTTTCATGGCCGCTTTCTGTTATTACAAAAACGAATTCTGCACTTTGGAGCCATAAGTGTACTATAAGAGTTCAAGGGGCATTGTTCGGTCTGATAATGG